TCCAGCTTTTTTTTTTTCTTTTAACTCCAAGAAATACTTTGAAAAGTTCCTGGGAGTGGGAAGTGGAGCCTCTGAGGCCGGCTTGAATGTCAACAATAGCTGGCTTGTGGCCGTCAGGCTGGGGACTGTGGAGCTTTTGTTCCGTGTTTTGTCAGCCTTGTAAGTCTGTAGACAAGGAGGGCAATGGAGCCGCAGAGTGTGGTGGGAGGTGAGGAGGAGGAGGCCTGGACCCTGTCTGGGGACCCATACTTCTCAAGGATGTCCCAAAGGGGACTCCGTTTTGGGGGGATGGAGCGCCACACCCACTCCCAGGCAGGCTGGGCGGGTTGAGAAGTGAGGAGGGCAAACCCCCAAACCCGCATCTTTCTCCTGATCGAGGCTCCTGGAGGAGCAGGTACCAGAGGAGGGGGTGGCCGTGTACACCAGGCCTGGCCAAGGTGGGTCTTGCGCAGTGTCCTTATACCCAGCAGGGGCAGGGGCAGCCCTTGAGGACAGGGCTAAATGTCAGCGCCAACCACTTCTTCTTCCCCTGGTTTATTCCTCTACTCGAGTTTCAGATTTACTTGCCCTTGGAGAACCCGACTTCAAGACCCATTGCCCCAGCCAGATCTTTGTTTTGTGAATTAATCAAATAATAATAGGGCTTCCCCCCGCTGGGAGAGGAAGCCTGGGACAGGTCTCGCGTCCAGCCAGCAGAGCCATGAGGGCAGAGCTGGCGTCTCTGAGGAGAGGGTCGCACACTTGCCTTGGAATTCAGTGAGCTCTGAGGCTGCAGGCTCAGCCTGCAGATTCCCGGTGGGGAACTGGGCCTGTTATTCTCTGCCAACCCACTCTGGGGAGACCATAGGCCTTGGCATTTGGTCTGCCTGGGCTCGGCTGAGGCCCTGGTCCACGACCCACCCAGGAATAGATGACTCCATGATAGCAGCTTCAGAAGGAAGCATGGTGCCATTTCCTGCCCTTTAAAACTGAATTTTTTAAAATTTAACATTTTTGAATTGAAGTCTGAGGTCAGGCTCGGTGGCTCACACCTGTAATCCCAGCACTTTGGGAGGCTGAGGCGGGAGGATCGCTTGATCCCAGGAGTTCGAGACCAGCCTAAAAACATAATGAGACCTTGTCTCTACAAAAAATAAAAAAATTAACCAGGCGTGGTGGAGCACGCCTGTAGTCCCAGCTACCCTGGAGGCTGAGGCTGCGGTAAACCAGGACTGTGCACTTCAGCCTGGGTGACAAAGTGAGACCTCAGACTCTAAAAACAAAACAAAACAAAACCCTTGAAGTCTAACATATGGAAAAACAGATCTTGTTAAGGTCGAATTTTTAAAAAGGGTATAATGACTTACAAACACAAAATGAACATGTGTCAGAGGTTTCAGTTAATTCATTAACTAATAAGGGAACCAGTAAGACATTACAGTTGGTTCAAAGGAGAATCCCAAAAGCAGACACATGAATTTGCTTAAAAAGATGCAAAATTGGCCAATAGGTCAATAACCAACTGCAATTTCATGGGATATGAAGTGCTTTTGAACAAGAATCGTTTGCATTATTATCAGTATTCTATAATTTACAGATGTAAAATAACTCAAGAACGACGAAAGGTGTGAGAATTAAATAACCCCGAAGAGTGCACTAGACAGCACCCAATTTTCTTCTGAAGAAATCTAGTAATTATGAGAGTTCATTTTAAAGTATTTCACTAATTTCTCCTTCAACTCAGGTGTGAGACTCCACTCATTGATCCAAAGCAAAGACCCGTATAACTAGCACCCTACTAAGAAGCAGCGCACCGTTGATTCCTTGGAAACTTTTCTTGGGCAGCTTCCCAATCATTCATTTTTCTTGCCTTTCGTCCCAAAAGTAGTCACTATCTGGATTTCCAAACCCAAAGGCTGGTTTTTGTCTCCCTCTCTTTTTTTTCTCTCTCTCTTTTTGTTTTGGAGTTGGAGTCTCACTCTGTTGCCAGGCTGGAATGCAGTGGCACACTCACAGTCACTGCAGTTGTGGCCTGCCGGGCTCAGGCAATCCTTCCACCTCAGCCTTCCAAGTAGCGGGAACCACAGGCGTGCACCACCACCCCCAGTTAATTTTTTGATTTATTGTAGAGTAGAGATCTCGCCAAGTCGTCCAGGCTAGTCTCGAACCCCTGGGCTCAGGCAGTCCTCTCGCCTCTGTCTCCCAAAGTGCTGGGATTACAGGTGTGAGCCACCATGCCTGGCTGCTCTCTCTCTCATTTTTAAAATATGAGTTCACTGTGTTGTCCAGAATGGTCTCGAACTCCTGGCCTCAAGTTCTCCTTGAGCCTCTGCCTCCCAAAATGCTAGGATTACAGGTGTGAGCCACCACACCCAGCTAGTTCCCATAGATGCAATCACAGAGTATATACTCATCTATGTCTGATTTCTTTCACTCAGCAAAATGTTTGAGACTCATCCATGTTGTTGCTTATAAAAGTAGTTTATTCCTTTTCATTGCCTTGTAGTGTTGGGTAGAAGGAACTGACCACAATGTATCCATTCTACTACTGATGGCCATTTGGGTGGTTTCTAGGTTTGGGTTGCCATGAACAATCTTTTTTTGTTTTTGTTTTTGAGTCAGGGTCTCACTCTGTCATCCAGGCTGGAGTGCAGTGGTGCGATAACGGCTCACCACTCAAACTCCTGGGCTCAGGTGATCCTTCAGCTTCAGCCTCCCAAGTAGCTGGTACTAGGCAACACCATGTCTCGGCTACTTTTTAAAAAGTAGTTGAACCGCCGGGCTCGGTGGCTCAGCCTGTAATCCCGCACCTTTGGGAGGTTGAGGTGAGTGGATTGCCTGAGCCCACGGGTTCGAGACCCGCCTGGGCAACTTGGTGAGA